AAATATTGGAAAAATCCCACGGAATTTGCGTGTACTCTTTCAACACTCTAGCATAGTCTAGATGAGCCATATATACTGTTTAGACAACTTCCATGGGTGTAAGTCTCTATCACAATGCTTTGTCCATGTAGCCTTGGTGTCGCTACATGGACAGTGTCAAAATGGGACATGTTAACAGCTTCAAAACTGCTTTCAAATATTTTTTTCAAAAACTTTTCTTGCAAGATAGGGTAAGAGTATTTTATGCAAGTGGAAAGCTGGGAACCCTACCTGTATTTTGGTTGTGATTTTTACTTTTTAATTCTAAATTTTTATTTTGATAGCACAAGTTTATTCTGTGGGTTCATGCGACTTCCAGTCTGGTAGATTTCCCAGCCTGGTGTCAAACTCTTCATCCACCAGTAGGGATTACCTTTTTCAATGGTGATTTTGCCTCTCAATTCAGCCCTTAGTGCATGTCAGTGCTTTTGTGTAGCACTTAATTCTCAAATAGCAGCTAAGGGCAGTACTGTTATCAAAGGTCACATTCTCAAAGGAAACAAATGTACTCCTTGTTTTGCTGAATGCTCATGCGGGTCAGACCTATAGTTCATTAAGCACAATAGACTGTCTTCCAAGAGTAGCCAGTGACAGGTGCTTCAGAGGAAATGAATAGAACAATGATCCTATTGTTCACTCCCAGACTCCTGCAGTCTGAGGATAGGGATATGGACACACAGAAAACAAGGTTTCACCCTCACCATCTTGGCTAACAGCGATTGAGGCACCTGTCCTCTTGAAATGTATCTAATTCTTTTTTTTTAATCCAATCACTTTTTGGACCCAGTTATTCCTATAGATTAAATCCTAATGATACATAGGTAGTGCAATTTTTTTAAAGCAATAAAGAAAAAAATTTACCTCCCAAGTAAATGAAATCCATGGAAAGAGAGTGAATGTTAGGAAAGAATGGGAGCAAAGACAGAGTTCAGGAAATTATCCTCACTTTGTTTGTATGACTTTTTCTGATTTAATAAAATCAAAAGTAGAAACCATAGAAAGGCACACACACTCTGGGTATGTCTACACTACAGCGCTAATTCGAACTAACTTAGTTCGAATTAGTTAATTCGAACTAAGCTAATTCGAATTAGTGCAGCTAGACTTAAAAACTAGTTCGAATTAGCGTTTTGCTAATTCGAACTAACATGTCCACACAGAGTGGACCCTGAACAGAGGTTAAGGATGGCCGGAAGTAGTGCCGGCAGGGCATCAGATGAGGACTTAGAGCGTGGAGCTGCTGTCTCAGGCTAGCCGAGGGCTGTGCTTAAAGGGACCCGACCCCCACCCCGGACAGACAGTTCTCAGGGTTCCCCGCTTGCAAAGCAGTCCTGGCTTTGAGTGCCCTGAGTGCCCACACGCGGAACATCACAGCACTCGGCCATCACCCCGGCTGCACTTGCCATCCGGGGGGAGGCGGCAATCGGGGGGGCTGCAGGAGAGCTTCCACCCTGAGAAGCCCGCAGAGCCAGCCCAGTCCTCCCCATTGGGGGCGCGTACCCCATTCCTTCCTCACCTCCTTCCACGTACCCTTCCTTAGCCCCCCTTCCTGATGTACAAAATAAAGAAAATGTGTGTTCAAAAATAGAATCTTTCTTTATTGAACAAAACTGGGGGAGACTGGAAAAAGGAGGTGGGAGAGGGGAAGAGAGAGGCTGGGAGAGGGGAGGGCAACTACAATGATCAGGGGTTGGGAACAGGTCCCATATGAAGAGAGGCTAAAGAGACTGGGACTTTTCAGCTTAGAAAAGAGGAGACGTAAGGGGGAGGTTGGGTCCATGGAGTGGTATTAGCCAGGGGGTAGGAGTGGTGTCCCTGCCCAAGGTTTGTGGAAGGCTGGAGAGGGATGGCACGAGACAAATGGCTTGGTCACTGTCTTTGGTCCATCCCCTCCAGGGTACCTAGGGTTGGCTGCTGTTGGCAGATAGGCTACTGGACTAGATGGACCTTTGGTCTGACCCAGTACGGCCATTCTAAGCTCAGGGCTCACAGTCGGGGGTCTTAGTGGACCACCTTGATTTTCATGCAAACCTGCTCCTGGGTGGCCAGGCTGGCAGCTCTCCTGCCCTAGATGGCCACTTTCCTGTGCCTAGTGCAGAGTTCATGGATGAGGTCCACGATGTCTGCACTAGACCAGGCCCGTGCCCGCCTCTTGCGGTGCTGGCCAGGCTCCCGAGAGCCGCCAGCCTGGTCCCGGGAAGAGGGGGAGGGCTGGGGGGCATCGGATGGCTGGCTCGAGCTGTGCCAGGTGCAGGGTCTGCTAGCTGGGTACTGGCAAGCTTGCTCCTGGCACGGGCACTGTAGCCAGCCCGTGCCCCTTTAAGGGGTCCGGGGCCGGGAGGGGGGCAGACGAGTTTCCCTGGTGTTGGCCAGAGTGGCCACCAGGGAAACCTGGGGAGGGCTAGCCTCCCACTAGTTCGAATTAAGGGGCTTCACAGTCCTTAATTCAAACTAGTAAGTTCAAACTAGGCTTAGTCCTCGTGCAATGAGGTTTACCTAGTTCGAACTAAGCGCTCCACTAGTTCGAATTAAGTTCGAACTAGCGGAGCGCTAGTGTAGCGCCTATGAAAGTTTATTCGTACTAACGTCCGTTAGTTCGAATTAACTTTGTAGTGTAGACATACCGTCTGACTCTTCCCTAGGGCTCAATTTCACATTTACATATATAAATCTGGAAAAAGTTGACAGCAAAGCACAGACACAGAGGCATACAGTCACCGACAACCATTTAATATCTTCTCCTATCATTCTGATTGCTTGTGCCCAGACAGCAGAGGGTCATACTTCCTTTATGGGTTAGGGGTAATTATTCCCTTGTTAGCCTTTAGGCTTGTCAGTCTGGTTCTTACTTATTTCCTCTTTACACACTTTTTATCTTTGATTATTTGCCAGGTGCTCTGTTCTATTGCAAATTTCCTATCTCCACATCCCTTGCTAGGCAGTGTTTTACTCTCTTGTTTGTTTCATATCTTGCAGCTAGTACCTTGCTAAAATATTTCCTAGAACACTTTTCAAAATATGGGAAAGGCTAGTGGTTGGCAAAATTTCACTCTCTGAAGTTAGCTTCATCTTATCTGCCAGACATCATGAGTGTCTGGCGCCCAGGCAAGACTTAAAATCTTCCTTTGGCTATTTTACGTGTCAGCATAACTAAAGGAAGAATGGCGCCAGCTCCACTAATAAAAATGGCTTGACTGCTACCATGCAGAACAAGTTTCCATTGTGCTTTTATGCATGTGTAAGCAACAGAGCAGCAAAACTAGTCATACCAGCTTACCCAATAGCATCAGTGTACAGACTCTCTAAGAAATAATCAATAGTGGGTCTCTTGCCCTCTCTATGGCTGGTTTCTCATGAAAAAAAAGAACAGTCTCAATTTTATCCCAATGATGAATGGAACAGTCTTCAAATATCATAAACGTTCAAAGGACTGGAAAAAACATTTCTGACCCTGCTCTATATTGGTACAGATTCTCATTTATAACAAGACCACTCTGATTTTCATACTTCTTACAGTGATTGGAGAGGCCTTAGCGTAAGCAAGAGTATGGCTCATTATCTTTTTAATACAAAGAGAGTAGCCCAGATTCTCTTTCAGTTAAACCTGCTACACCTTTAACTAATTAAATTAATTGAATCAGTTGTTTTCAAGCATTTAAGGATCTATACTGCATCCCTTTCCAAATAGGTTGCCTTCCAGGTACCTATATCCAAAATAGGCAGAGATGATGTACAGGAGGAGCACATGTGGTCATATGCAGGCCACCCCAGATTTCCACTTTCTCTTTTGTAACAGCTCCTCAAGGTTTTCAAATAAAAGGGGCACAGGAGAACATTCAGGGAGCTGAGCAGCAATGCCAGTGGCTTGAGCTAGTCCTATGTGGAGGGAATGCCACCTCCACCCCCTAACTCAACACAGCAGACCACCTAGTCTGTCTAGGTCGGAGAGGTGGAACCAAAATTTGCAAGTCAAATGAGCTGAGCCTCTCCTGCAAGTTCCAATTGTTGGTTTTAGTCCTCGAGCCTAAACAGACTCGGTGGTCTGCTGAGATAAGTTAGGGGGTGGAGGTGGTAATTCCTGAGCCCTGCCCCACAGGTCTGGCCCTACACACCTGGCATCACCAGCCTGAGATGCCCCAATAAAAAATAAACTTCTGTATTAAAGAAAATGTCTTGTTCATCATTACATGATTTTTCATGAACCCCCTGAAAAGAGCTCATGTACCCAAGTTTGAAAGACACTGATGTAGATGTATATTAGATTCACTGAGACTTAGAGATACCTAGATGTGCCAACTCTTGTGAAGATCCTTTCTGACATGAGATTATATTGTTCACTCTAATTGTGAAAATTACTTATAATTAGCAATATTTAACTCAGATCAGCTTAACTGAAAGCAGAAATTTCTTAGCGCTTTCCAAATATACAATATTAGGCAGTAAAAATCAAAGGCAAATAACATATTTTTGGAAGAATGTTTAACAAAACCGGTGTTCCATACAGTTTCAATTAATGTTTTATTGTGCCTGCTATGATGCTGAGTCACTTTCCCAAAGCAGGAAACAGGCGAGCTATATATAATGGTTTAAACAAGAAATCCATTCACTTCCACAGCCTCTTTAAAGGTGCTGGAAGACATTTTCTATCTGCCCAGAAAGAACAGGTAAGCTTTACATTCCTTTCCTTAACACAGAGAGACCTTATTCACAGGTTTTCAGATAGAATCTGCTACAAAGAAGTCTTCTTGAAACGTTAGGACATTCAGAGAATTACAATGACATTTCCTTAGATGTGGGGAAGGGTAAAAAGCCGTTAGAGGACTAGAAAAAGTAAGAGAAAATATGGAAATATAAAGTAAAAAATTAAAAAGTCTTTAACAGTATGAGTGAATAGGTAACAAAACAGGAATTAAGCAGAGGCATTAAATAATAGATATGTATAAATTCCAGTACTTTGTACGCATTATTGGCTTAGATAAAATTCTCTTAAGGGCAGGGACCGTTTCTCCTTACATAGCCATAAACTACCTTGAACATATAAAATGCTGCCTAAAGAACAATTGTAGGGTGTATAATTATAAAATAGCTTCAAGAGATAATTAATAATGAATTCAAGTTGCATTACTGTAAGAAATAGAGGGAGATAGCCTGATATATGTAATGAATAGTGTAGGTTGCACTGAGTTGTTCCAACACTCAGTCTTTGCGAGGGGAAAAAAAGCACACACAAGATTTCTTCCCTTAATGCTCACCTAATACAGGTTGGAAGTGTAGGTTGGACCTCTCTAGACCAGCACTCTATGGTCCAGCAACATATGTGATCTGGAATGATTTCAGTTAGCCAAAGGTCCACTTAGCATGGGTGTGGCCAAGTTTCCTGTGGTCCCATAAAGTTGTTTACAGCCACCAGTCCTGGCTCTTAGTGTTCTGTGCTGTTATTTAGCTCTAATTTTCCCCTAAATGCCATCTAAGAGCCCAGTAAGGAGTGGAAGCATTGGTAAAGCTGCTAGACAATATTGACCTCCGATGGTTCAGCAAATTCTCAAGTTCTGCACGAGTCAAATCCCAAGGGTGCCTGTGACAGGGCAGGTGGACCACCCGCTCTACCCCACACTGGGATGGCCTCCGAGGAGAGGGGCGAAGGCCCGGAGGGGGAATTAAGCGTCTGGGGGTGCACCGCCGAGAGCCAAAAGATGGCGCCGAGCGACGGCGTGGCCGATGGTCCGCAGCCCAGTCCGGTGTCTCCTCGTGATGTCAGCAGGGGCGCCGGCCGGGACGCCGAGGAGGGCGGGGGCCAGGGCGCAGAAGTGACGTCGGCCCAAGGCACCGCCCAGCGGGAGATTCAAAAGGGCCGCAGCCGTGGCCAGGAGGGGGGAAGTGTTCGGCCCTGGGAGGAACCCCAGGCCCTGGCAAGGAGTCCGGACCCTGAGAGGTACAGGCTGCCAGGAACCCCCCGAAGTGGGAGGTGGAGGGTAAGCTTATCCCCACACAGGGGGAACCAGTAAGGGACTGACTGGGAAGAAGGGACCCAGGGCGGGGCCACGAACCCCGCGAGTGGAGGGTTTGGGGGATCTTGACCCCCTCCACTGACAGGGGACGCATGTCCCCTTCTTAGGGCCCTGGGTCGGAGCTCGGAGAGAGGGAGGTCCTGAGCCCCCTTCCCGGTCCCCCTGGGACCCACGCAGGCTCGGATCACGCCTAAGGTACGGGAGATACGCCGGGGCCAAGAGGCCAACCATAGAGCAAAGCTCCCACATAAGACAATTGCCCACCCAAACTCGGGGTGGCCTTTAAGGGGACGGTTACAGTGCCAGACTAGAGAGGTTCAACCTGTATTAAGGGACTGATCCTGCAATAATGTACATGGCTCAATAAGATCCATGGGACTTAGCACATGTACAAAGCACTGAGGTGATTGCAGGATCAGGCAATAAGGTTTAACTCTCAGAGCAAGTATATTTATCCCTTCTAATGCAAGGGTTCCTAAAATGTGATAAGCAAGCCCCTAGGGGTATGTGAGACATCTGACAGTAGAGCGGGAAAAGAAGTATGCAGGAGAAATCATGTAATAGTGCGTTTTCATAATAGGCTGCTCATATGAAGCTTCAAAACTCAGTGGGAGTTTCTTATACAAAATAGAGTAGTTAATTTATTTCAAGATGTACCAATGAGAATGCAGATACACAGAGAAGAGGACATATGAGGCCTTACTCTTAATCACCATACACCACAGATGCCATTGCCTAGAAATCATCCAGTTTGACTGAACTCAGAACTTAATCAAGGTTTTTAACAGCTGTACACATTGTGCTATAGCTATATCTCTTATGCAACAGTGAAACATAGACAACAAGTTAAACACCGGGGCTGCGTCTAGACCGGCATGATTTTACACAAAAGCAGTAGCTTTTGCGCAAAATCGTGCCGCCTGTCTACACTGGCCGTGAGTATTTGCGCAAGAACATTGACTTTGTAATGTACAAAATCAGTGGTTCTTGTGCAAATACTCTGATGCTCCCGCTCAGGGATAAGCCCTCTTGCGCAAGTATAACTTGCAAGGAGTATTCTTGCGCAAGAGGGCCAGTGTAGGCAGCCACGTTAATTTCTTGCGCAAGAAAGCCTGATGGATAAAATGGCCATTGGAGCCTTCTTGCGCAAGAGAGCATCTACACTGGCATGGATGCTTTTGCGCAAAAGATTTGCTTTTGTGGAAAGGCACATGCCAGTATAGACATTCTCTTGCGCAAATACTTTTAACGGGAAAACTTTTCCATTAAAAGTATTTGCGCAAAATCATGCCAGTCTATATGCAGCCTGGCAGTGTCACAAAGACTACACTAAGAGTGTGTCTACACTGGGCCATTATTTCGGAATAACTACAGTTATTCCAAAATAACAATGTGAGCGTCTACACACCCACTTCGTCAGATGCATGTAGTGGAAATTCCAGAGGCAGGTATAAATATACAGACATAAGCAAAGAGTTCCAATCAAGAGTAAGGCTAGAGATAATGAGGTCAATTCAGTCAAGGGGGATGAGGCCACCTTCCAGCAGCTGATGTGGAGGTGTGAACACCAAGGGATGCGAAACTGCTTTTGTAATTTGATAGCCATTCACAGTCTTTGTATAATCCAAAACTGATAGAGTCAAATTTGCAGATGAATTGTAGCTCTGAAGTTTCTCTTTGAAGTCTGTTTTTAAAGTTTTTTTTGTTGCAGGATGGCTACTTTTAAATCTGCCACTGTGTGTCCAGGGAGACTGAAGTGTTCTCCTACAGGTTTTTGGATATTGCCATTCCTAATATCTGATTTGTGTCCATTTATTCTGTTATGTAGGGACCGTCCAGTTGGGCCGATGTATGTAGCAGAGGGACATTGTAGGCACATGATGGCGTAGTCCGCATATATTATATTGGTAGATGTGCAGATCCAAGACAAACTGGCTGAGCTCCACTGACATCCATGACTTTGGCCTCCATTTTATAACAGGCTATCTACAGAATACTCTCTTCTCCATGGAAGCACCCATGCATCTGATGAAGTGGGTCTTTGCCAATGAAAGCTTATGCTCCAATAAATCTGTTAGTCTGTAAGGGTATGTCTAGACTGCATCCCTCTGTCAGCAGAGGGATGCAGATTAGGCAGGTCGACATTGCAAATGAGGCAGGGATTTAAATATTCCACGCCTAATTTGCATAAAAATGCCGCTGCATTTTTCCGACTCAGCACTTTGTTGCCAAAAAGCGGCAGTCTAGAGGGGGATCTGTCGAGAAAGAAAGCCTTTTTCGACAGATCTCTTATGCCTCCTGCAAGGAGGTTTATAGGATCTGTCGAAAAAGCCTTTCTATTCAAATGAAGCACGAGATATTTAAATCCCTGCTTCATTTGCAATGGTTATGTGCCTAATCTACACCCCTCTGTCAGCACAGCGGGAATAGGAGTTTATTTCAAAATTTGGTGCTGTGTAGACAGCGCCAAATTACGAAATAAGCTATTTTGAAATTGACTTGAAATGAGCTATGCAATTTGCATAGCTCAAATTGCGTAGAGCTAAGGGTTCAGTGTAGATGCACAGACAAAGGCATTTTTGTAACTTGTAAAAAACGTGAAAAACCTTATTTATATTTTGTTTTTCTTACAAAATTTTAGGATGAACATTTTTGCCATTACCTTGGTGGAGATTTCTCAGTCCAATTTACAAATTTACCCAAATAAACAATTTCAATGAGTTGGTTATTTTCACCTCAGAACATGTCACAGCATATATTTTCCCAAGTTTAGCATACCAAAGTAACTTTAAAAAAACATATTTCCCATTTCAAAAGAGACACATTTTAACTTGAAATACTTGTGTACAGGTACAACTGTATCAAAAAAGCTTTTGTATAGTACTGAGTGGAATGCAAGAAAAATATCTCCTTTTTCATTTTATTGGGCATATATCTTTAATCTCTAGTACTGGAGCAGTCATGCATAATATTAATTTGGAAAATAGCAACATAAAGTTATAAGATAAGAAATGTATTACCAGGAAAGAAAATTTACATCTATTAACTGTAATGACCTGCATTAATCTGGTTAGTGTTTAGGGCCAGATCCTTCACTACTGAAGAACTGGCCCAAAATGGATCCATATGCCACAGTCAGATACAGTGATTAGACTATTTTTTTATTTGGATCCGCTACTAGCAGACAATGTCACCAGGCCATTATATTGCTAGTTTACCAATACCTTTCATCAGATAAGTCTACCCCTCTCCTAGAGAAGTGCTGGCAGACATTAAGATTGTGCAAGATATGGTGGAGCAATTCCTTATTCAGTGTAAATGGGTTCAGTTTCATGGATGTCGAAAGACCTCCAGAGAGTGATGTTGATAGAGTTACAGGTGAAGATATGGCCCATTGCTTCCCAGTGTCACGCAGTCAATGTGGGGAGCAGTGGAACTTGCTATGCCTGTAGGAAAAATACATGCTCTCTTTGCAAGTAGCTCTAGAGACCCACTCTTGCTGCAGATAGAAATGTCATCCAGCTCCCTCCTCATTTTACCAGGAATACCTGAAACCAGAGCCATCAACCTTCCTGCTAAATCAAACATAAAATGAAGTCAGCAACAAATTACCCTGGCATCATGCAGAGCCTACTTAGACTGGAGCTTGGCCAATGGAAGTGAATTCCAGCCCAGCCAGTATCCAAACCAGTTAAACCATAAACACTGAGAGCTAAAGCCTCCCAGGCGATGCTAATTGAAATAATAGCCAGAGATAATTGGATCCTGGACCTTACAGGGATTTAAAAATACTCTCAAGCACTTTACGATTTGCACCCAGAATTTCAGATTCTTTTGAAATAACCCTTATTCCTTAAAAAATGAGATTTAAGGGTAATTTCGAAAGATGGGTTTTTTTTCAAAATAACCCAGTCTACACAGCATTTTTTTTCAAAATAGGGCATTTCAAAAAAGAGTCCAGATGCCATTATGCAAATGAAGTGCAAGTTTTGTAAATTCGTGCTTCATTTGCAATTTAGCTCGGCTGCATTTGCATTCCTCTCTCAAAAGAGGAATGCAGTGTAGACATACCCTAACAGTGGTGAGAAGAAACAAAAAACAGGACTATATAGCACTTTAAAGACTAACAAGATGGTTTATTAGGTGATGAGCTTTCGTGGGCCAGAACCACTTCCTCAGATCAAATAGTGGAAGAAAATTGTCACAACCATATATACCAAAGGATACAATTTAAAAAATGAACACATATGAAAAGGACAAATCAAATTTCAGAACAGAAGGAGTATGGGGGGGGAGGCAAATGTCTGTGAGCTAATGATATTACAGGTGATAATTGGGGAAGCTATCTTTGTAATGGGTACGATAATTAAAGTCTTTATTCAAACTTAGGCGTAAAGTATCGAATTTAAGCATGGATGACAGTTCATAGGATTCTCTTTCAAGTGTAGTCTTAAAAGGCCTTTGAAGCAGGATGCAGGTAATCAAGTCATTGAGACAGTGTCCTTTCTGGTTGAAGTGGCAAGAAACTGTTTTCTCTTTGTGATCCTGTCTAATATCTGTTTTGTGGGCATTGATCTTTTGGCGAAGTATCTGAGACGTTTGTCCAATGTACATGGCAGACGGACACTTTCGGCACATGATAGCATAAATTATATTTCTGGATGTGCATGAATATGTGTTCTTGATCTTATAATTCACTTGGTTAGGTCCAATAATGGTATCAGCTGAGTGAATATGTGGACAAAGCTGGCAATGGGGTTTGTTGCAAGGAAAGGTACCAGGGTTGGTATTAGTGTGGTATGTCCTGTGGTTGTTGGTAAGTATCATATTGAGGTTAGGTGGTTAGGGTCATCTTGAGGTTAGTATCATCTTGAGGTTAGGGTCTGTCTCCCAGAGCCTCTTGGAGTTTAGTATCCTGTTCCAGTATAGGCTGTAGTTTATTGATAATGTATTGGACAGGTTTAAGTTGGGAGCTGTAGGTGATGACAAGTGGTGTTCTATTGTTGGTTTTCTTGGGTGTGTCTTGACATAGATGGTTTCTAGGTATTGGTGCATAATTTCATATGTTCCATTAATGGGTGTGCTTATGAATGAGCCTTTGAGGATACAGCTGATGTGATTAGGTCCTGTGACAGTGTCATGAGAGTAATGTTTGGATAGCTGGTTGCCTCATAGTGCTGTGGAAAGTAACACAGAGAAACAACAGAAGATTTTTCTCTCTAGTATAAAGACCTGGTGATAAAATCCCAATTTCCCAATTGAGAAAAACCCTAGGCATACACAACATGTTGCAGCATAATTGCATACTGTGCTTAAATAAATATAAGCTAGAGACAAGAAAGGCAATTAAGCAGGTTTTTCTTCTCTTTTCAGAAATGATTCTGCTAACTGCATTCTTGTGCCTGGCTGCTGTGCTGCAGCAAACCACCGGACAGGTAGGACAAGAACTTGATGGGAAACATTTTTCCAATCCCATTAATATTTTAAGATTTCTGAACCCCAAGGAAAAATAAAAATGTCAAATATTTTTGCAAACTGATAAAGAGAAGTGCATTTGTTCACACCTTGTGAAATGTTCCACGTCAGTAATTTCAAAACACTTAGGCTGTGTCTAGACTGGCAAGTTTTTCCGCAAAATCAAATGATTTTGCGGAAAAACTTGCCAGCTGTCTACACTGGCCGCTTGAATTTCCGCAAAAGCACTGACGATGTAATGTAAAATCATCAGTGCTTTTCTGGAAATACTATGCTGCTCCCATTCGGGCAAAAGTCTTT